TTCTTTTTCCTTGTGGTTGTGGATAGAGAAGAAGGTCTAAATATGGGCTAGCACTTTTATTTCAGGATTTATTGGTAGAGCTGTGGACGACTTTTAAGGTGGATTTATTGTCAAACTTGTGGATGATTTTTAAGATGGATTTATTGTCAAACCTATGAATGATTTTTAAGATATAACACTTGAATATATATATACACAAATAACATGTTTACTATATGATATTGAAAGTGATGTGGAAAAGGACTCGAACGTTAATATTAAAATCAATTATTAATTTGTTTACAAATGTTACTATTTTGCTTAATATACATACAAGGTGGGCCACGTGAAACAGGCCACCTAATTATCTTCTCTAACTACTTACGGTGGCGCGAGAAAATTTTTAAATGGTTTCAAGGGGTGAATAAGATGAGACAAATTTTTTTTTAAATGTCATTTTTTTCAAGGTTTATGGTTTTTTGCGCGAATGTACCTATTTTTATTATACTGTTTTCTAGCACATATCGATGCGCGTTTAAATGCACAGAATAACATAACCTTAAAAAGACTGGACTCTAAAATTTTAAATTAAATATGAAACTTTCTTTGATTTTTTGCCATTTCTTCCATCAAAAAAAAGTTTCTTACATCTTATACACCCTTTGAAACCGTTTAAATTACTAAAATTTTGATAAATTTGTGCATTTAAATGTGCATAATAACATAACCTTAAAAAGACTGGACTCTAACATTTTCAATCAAATATGAAATGTTCTTTCATTTACCGCCATTTCTTTCATAAAAGAAAATGTCTTCCATCTTATACACTCTTTGAAACCATTTAAATTACTAAAATTTTAAATCAAACATGAACCACTCTTCCATTTACTACCACATCTTCCATCCCGTTCACCCTTTGAAACCATTGAAATTACCTATAAAAATCGTCTCATACCACCGTAGCTAAAAATAATAATTGAGTATCCTATTCCACATAACCCACCCAGTATATTCCTCTTAAGTAATCACACATCACCTACCCACATATTTCACCCTTCAAATACTCAAACTGAACTCTCCCCAACTACCATACATTTTCCCAATTTCTCACCAAAACCAACACACACTCGATACATTCACCCATGGCAACAAAAGAAGTCGCACGATAAAACATTCTGTTCTTATATTCTCAACGTTCAGTGTCTCCAGTCTGGACTTTCTCAGAACACGTCTACCGACAACTTGGGAAAACAACGCCGGCGATCTGATCGCGTAGCAATTTGCACGTGAGCGTTCAATAGACATGTCGATGCCAGGTATGCGCATTGTGGGCCGAGATTCAGACGCATTCCTTGCACAACCGGTAATTTAAGTGGCGAACGATTGATATAATGCGACGGACGTAATTTACCAAGAATCAATCGCGAGTATCAACGAGAGTGTATCTACGCACACGCTCCGAGAACGTCAGGCTCAGGTGAAAAAAGGCTGATCGTCGTCGCTGCGTCCTCTCTCGAGTCGCGCGAGTGCTGATTATCCGCGAGTTACTTCCGATACCGAAACACGTTCATCGGGAAAGACATGAAGCTAGGTACTCATTTTGCGGAATACTTTTTACAGTTTACGAGTTCACAGACGAGAAAGTTTAAGAATAATTGACCGGTCGATGGAAATTCTTAGCGATGAATTCTTCAGGGGAGAGAAATTTTTCTTCTCGACTAATTTTAGACACGATGGTTAAAATTTTCTTCGAATCGATTTCACTTAATCGCGAAAGATCGATTTAATCGGTTGCTTGGATGAGTTGTTGTTTTTGATTGAAGGAACTTGACAGTGGCCGTTAAGTGAGGCTGGGTCATCTGTGACCCGTTTCATTTGAGTGTGTGAAAGGCGAAAACTTTGCGCACTTGGAATATTTTTCTTAGTTATAAATAAGAAATTTTGAATAAGGAATATTATTGTAATATGGAAGAATGTTATGTATAAAATTTGTATGATACGGAAAGGGACACACAATGTGATATAAATAATTTTTACGTGAGTGGAGACAGAAAGGAGATTTCAAGATCAACCCAATTCATTTATTTTTTTACTGAGAAATATATTTAATGTACTTTAAAGTAGTTGCAGTTTAACCCCTTAACCTATAGCAACGCGCCAGACTCGTGGCAGAGATTCTGGTGAATATGTGAGAAAAATAGTTATATCGGTAAGAAAAATTCGTTGTAATCCTAACTTTCGTTTGAATTTCTAAGACTGAGTATTATTAAACGTAATTAATCAGCAACAGATTAGCTTTTACTACCTGATACAGAACTAAAGCAGCAAATGGCTGACGCTTAGATGCACAGTCAGAAAAGAAATCATATGTTAAGGGGTTAACGTAGTTCTTTTCTTTTTTTACCGAGAAACGTAGTTTAATGTACTTTAAAGTAGCTGTAGTTTAACGTAGTTTAGTTAGAGTAGTTTAATGTCTATTATCAGATAAAATTTCACCACAAAATATTGATTTTCTGATGTAGAGACGAGGAAAACTTTTGGTGGGTCAAATGTGACCCGGGCACCGGTTTTCGTGCGGCACTTGGATCTTCAGTCGTCCAACTGAACTCCACAAGTGCAGTATTTTATTTAATCACGTTACATGAGATAGTTCTTGTCTCTCCTTCGATTTGACATACAAAATCAGCCAAATTTTATTAGAATTTTACGTTTATCTTCGATATTACAGAATTTAAAAATGATAATAGTTATCGAGTAACTCTTACTTTCGTTTAATTCACAAAACTTGTTATTTAATATTCCTTCCAGCTTCGATCCAATTCACTAAGCACATTGGATACATTGAAAGTCTCTCTTCTCAATAAAGAATTTACTTTGAATTCAGTTTACGGATTCCGGTATTCCTTATCTCAATCTTAATCCAATTCCTCGTACTCCACAGACCTCGATACAACTTTCATCGAGTCCATAGTATACACGACAGCTCCCGTTTCAACTTTAACTCGATTCACAATACTTACTGCTTCTCTCACTCCGGTCTCTATTTCAATTTACCAATGTACCACGGCGGCAAACATTTTCCCTTCGACACCGACTATTTAACGCTGAATCCAGTCCGCAAATTGTAATATCGCATATCTCCCGCGAACTTATCGAATTTCTCACACCTAGTTGCAATTTAAATTGCATCCAAGAGAACGTAGCAGTTCCTATTTCAATTCTATCTTAATTCACGACGGTTATTACTTTATTCTAACTCACTTCGCGTTGCATATGCGGAGCAAAATCCCGTTAGCGCACCTCGAAGTGACACTTAGAAAAGAGAGCAGCTAATAAAGAATAGATGAACCCTTTGCTGGAAAATTTAGATTATTTTTCTTTAAGTTCAAAATAATGCTTAATTAGCTATGATCAAAATTTTTAGTTGACGATATTCATTTTATTTTAACTATTCTAAACATTTGAGGTCCTCCTGTCACAGGTGACCAACGTGGCAGTCAACGTGTTAAATGAACGTTATACTTATTAAACCTGACAACTTCGATTTGAACGGCCTTTGCAAGGACAAGTCATTTTGAGAAAAATCCAGGCTCTTGCACCCTGCTTCAATTTTCATATCCTGACTGTTACCAACGTGTCCTCAGCTACCAATAGATTTGTGCATTTGTACATTGTCCACTCGTGCTAATTAATCAATGAAACTTATTAGAAAATTGTACATGACTCCGAAGCAGTGCTTAAAAATTAGTCACGGCTCAACTACCTTGGAAAATAGTTACGATTCAACCCTCACGAAGAGCTCTTCTTGAGTCGTTCAATATCTACAACACTCGTGACACATTTCAATGAACCCTTGGACAGTGGAAGACACGAAAGTCTCACAAACGGCAGATACCGGGTCAAATATGACCCAACACTAAAATCCACATTCTTTTAATTTACCAAGCTTTACATTACGATTAAACTAACATATATGTAATACGAGAGTAGAGTCGTGTCTCTGTTTCGAATGCTGGTTGAAACAAGAGATATAAAAAATCTGGGTCATCGATGACCCAGCATCAGTCATTGGAAGGTTAATATAGTACCGACTAAGAAAAAAAGTTCATCGAAGCGTAATTACAATACGAGTCAATGGTGTCGAATTACCATTGATAACAGACTTACTATATTACGTGCGTGGAGGAAAATACAACCACGACAGCACCACAAGCTTCGTATAATATATATGTATATATAACAACCCCTCTATCAAGCCCACTTTAACCACTTTACTTCCAACCCGTCTCGATATTTCTAATTCGAAACCCTTGAACCCTATAGACTGGTATTATACGCTTACGATGCAGGCTATACTTCAATCGACTTCCTGTTTCTATCTCGACTCCACTCACACGACCCATTACCTCTCCTGCAACACCGTTTCAATCGAATTCGTAATACCCTCGGCATCGGGTAACCCGAGAGCTTCGTGTTCGCGACATTTTTACACGGCGTGCAACATTGTGGCCGGGTACGTAAGTGCGAACGAGCCACGGACACGTTATTACACAGGTAATACACCTGTTACCATACGCGTTGCGTAAGCCTCTTCAGAGGCGAACTCTCGGCTCAAACTGGCCGCAAGAATTCCGAGTACTTTCACTCGAGTTGCCGTGGCGAGGAGGTGTCGCGCGATACACACAGAAATGCACACGTGTATGTATATATAGAGGTAAGTGAGTACATGAAACGAGACGTTCGACGGCTACCAAAGAGGGAGAAACATATTTGTTGCATACCTTACACAGTTGGTTGGTAAAATTCGAGTGAAATTAATCCTGGAAAAATGATGGTTCGTTGCACGATCAATGGGAGCACGAGTTAGAGCGCCTACGTCGATTATACGCCACGCTTATTCGCGGCCGAGTTCGTTAGGTAATTTAGAAATTAGCGTCGTTTCACTCGGCCGTTCGACGCGTGCTACGGATTCGCTGGAATGCAAACGGAGCTTGGCAGGTCGCGCGATTTTTCGATCGGATTTATGATTCGGAGTCTTGAGTCGTGAGTCTTGAGGCGTGAATCTTGAGTCGTGAGTCTTGAGTCGTGAGTCTTGAGGCGTGAATCTTGAGTCGTGAGTCTTGAGTCGTGAGTCTTGAGTCGTGAATCTTGAATCTTGAGTCGTGAGTCTTGAGTCGTGAGTCGTGAGTCATGAGTCGCGAGTCTTGAGTCTTGAGTCCTGAGTCTTGAGTCGTGAATCTTGAGTCGTGAGTCTTGAGTCGTGAGTCATGAGTCTTGAGTCGTGAGTCTTGAGTCGTGAGTCGTGAGTCTTGAGTCGTGAATCTTGAATCTTGAGTCGTGAGTCTTGAGTCGTGAGTCGTGAGTCATGAGTCGCGAGTCTTGAGTCTTGAGTCGTGAGTCTTGAGGCGTGAATCTTGAGTCGTGAGTCTTGAGTCGTGAGTCTTCAGTCATGAGTCGTGAGTCTTGAGTCGTGAGTCTTGAGTCGTGAATCTTGAATCTTGAGTCGTGAGTCTTGAGTCGTGAGTCATGAGTCGTGAGTCATGAGTCGTGAGTCTTGAGTCTTGAGTCGTGAGTCTTGAGTCGTGAGTCTTGAGTCGTGAGTCTCGAGTCTTGAGTTTTTAAAGTCCCGATACATCCTGAAAGTCGTGAAAGTTTTGATGAGTCTTGAAAGCTTGGTAAGTATTCAATGTCTTACACATGAGTACTCAATATCTTTACCATTTTATGACAACGATACTGCTCGGACAATACTTGCCAAGCTTTCAAATCCTATCAAAACATTCAAGACTTTGAAACCTATCAACACTTTCAAGACTTTATCTACTATTCCTAACATATCAATAAAATTAAAAATATGTGGAGTATATTACTGATCAATGATCAATCCATCAAACGTATCAGTGTCTAACTGAAACATAACATGAAATCTGTTCTCATTATTTAAAATTATTGATTGAGACACATACACTGACTTCAGCTATCATAGCCTTTGGATCTCGTTTATCGTTTCTGATTCATTATAAATACGATCCTTTACTTCCTGAAATATCCGCAATCATTCATTCGATCCCCAAAGCATACAGTTTCTTTTCATATTCAAATTGCACTTAAAATTTGCTTGCATTCATTCGGTGTTTTTCTTAAGATCGATAATTCAAGTTACAACACCGTGAATGTGTGTTCGAATGTGTTTGCCAAAATTGTGTCAAACAAATAGCAACATAACTTTTGCGTGGTCAATTAACGAGTCACGTGTAACGTATAGCACGGTATAAGTGAATGAATAATCACGTTCTAGGATCAAAAGTAAAACAACTCGCACGTTTTCAGATTGGGATTCGAAAGAATGAGATAAATGGGATATTTATTGACGCAAGTCCGGGATATCTCGAAGTGTAAATCGGTGAATAATGTAACGGTCAAAAAAAAAAAAAAAAAAAAGAGAAAAAAGAAGAAAATAAAATTTATACATGACGTGAAACGGAAATGTATGAGTAATCTGAGCCTATCTCCGATTCAGCTACAAATTATCGAACAATTCACGCGTTATACAATAAATTAAATTTCAACCAGGAAATTCTGCGATCGACTCGCTAAATCGAGTATAATTTATTTCACTTGTTTGCAATAAAATTAAACATTATGGTTTCAACTATTACGTTTATTTACTTATCGTGACACGTGTTGGTGAAACGATATTTACGATCTGTAGAAAATATTTGCACAGATCGTACGTTATTTTATATATCGTAGCACATTGTACAGTTTAGTACATCATTTTTCCTAATAGTATCAATTTAATTAATGTCACTAAATAAAATTTCCTCCAAATAATCAACAATCTAACCATGTCATAAATTTAATCGTCGTTAAAAAAAATTCCCTGCTATCGATATTCTGAAAAGTAGCAAAATCGCTGATTTACCTTTCAAAAGTATTGAATTAATTAGTGTCACCAAATAAAATTCCCTCCGAATAATTAACAATCTAATCATTTTATAAATTCAATCGTCATTGAAAAAATTCCCTCCTATCGATATTTTAAAAAGTAGCAAAATCACTGATTTACCTCTCGAAAATATGAAATTAATTTGTGTCACCAGATAAAATTTCCTCCGAATAATTAACAAACTAATCGTTTTACATAAAATAGCAAATTCACTGATTTACTCCTCGAAAATATTAAATTAATTAGTTTCACCAAATGAAATCTCCTCCGAATAATTACCAATCTAATCACATCACAAACCTAATCGCCATCGAAGAAATTCCCTCCTCTGAATACTCTCAGAAACCGCAGAGTCACCGATTTACCTGGCTAGAGGATCAAACAAATTTGTTCGAGGATGATACATTAGAACGTGGGTAAGTGGCTATTCGCTTCGAACAATGATTTCCAACTAACTCAGCTGCTTTCCTTCGCATTGCTATTCCTCTTCAGTTACGCCTTCATTATTTCGAACGAACGAAAAAAAAGAAGAAAAGAAAAACGTCTGGCTCCGCATTCTAGTACACCGTGGCCCGTTCAATTCCTTACGTTTCCCCTATTGAACATGACATAACGTACTACCAAGTTTCTTCAGCTTTCCCCGACCCTCGTCAAAGGCAGCGCTACGTCTATAATTTTCGATATTACACGGCATGCAGTTCGAACCACAGATGTTCTCCATCGTGTACATCCAACCGCTATTTACATAATACGTCTGCCGCGTTGAAACCTTCCTCTGTCCACCTGTGTCCGAAATGAAAAGCACCTGAGTGTACTTACAACGACACGCGGAAAACAATCGTCGACCGGAACGTACAATACAATCAACAATTATGGTCTGATTATTGATACGTGCGAAGTATGCGAGATAAACGTATTATACAAAACGTATGCTCTATGCAAAATAAGAAATACATTTTTGGAATCGTCCAACGACAAAACACATTTCTGTTCCTACGCGACCGAAGTTGCACCAGCAAATTAGTTATCAATTGCTCAACCGTTTCAGTGCCAAGGAGCGTATTCGACGTCGAAAAGTGTCACCGCATCGGGCCACGAAGTGTAAATTTTATTCTATTTCTCACAATCTGTCTATTTTTTTTAATTCCAAATAGTCGTATTCAGTGAAAATGTCGAAAACAAAATTTTGGGAATTTTTCGACATCGAATGAAATTTTCGGTCAAATTTCTGCAATAACCCGTGGCACTCAAACGGTTAGTGTAAGGTAATGTAAGTTAATGTAAGTAAGTAGGTAAGTTAATATAAGTTAATGTAAGTTACTGTAAGTTAATGTAAGTTAATGTAAGTTAATGCAAGTAAGTAGGTAAGTTAAGCAATCTACCTCCACAAATAATAATATAATACAAAGGACTATGCAATACTGTAGAAATGTGCGGTCGCTAATGGCAAATAAGCTGATGCGACATTAACACTAAAATTACCAGCCGAGTCCAAATGACCCATTACCGACTTTCCAAAAGTGAATTTTCATGTAAGTAAACCGTGATTGGAAAATTCGATTCGTATCGATACAAATAGAAGCATACATGTAGAAAATAAATTCGGAAAGTTACAAACGATAATACTTATCACTATCGGACATTCACATTTTTTGGAAAGTTGCTAATGGGTCATTTTGACCCGGTCGGTAATCCTGGTGTTAAATAAATTTTTTAAAAATTCTGTCCAAGTTTCATTTCCTTATCTATTTCCTGTAAAAATATGCGTTTGCATAGACATCCACTGTCTAGTAATCATTCTCGAAAACGGCATAGATAGGCGCGTCAAATCACACCGAAGAAAGAAGGAAATAGGCTAGAGGAGCTGTCTGGCTTAGATAACGTTCCACCTTTCACCGATCCTTCAAGAGTAACTTCTAATCTTGAAATCTCGCCGTAACTTCTTCGCTGTATTCTCGGATATGTGGTACAGATATCTATAGTATTCTAACGTTCGTTTTTGGTGTTGCTTTTTTATCGAGTTTCTCTTTGCATTTTTAATCAATTTGTAGGATTAGCTTTTTGTATTTGTTCTTCAGTTTTAACGTCTGTTTTTCTCTCAGATTTGAAGACACAAGTGAAAGAGATATTCGATAGAAAGTTGCCTCGCGTGTAAATAACATCTTCATTTTTAGGAATTTTTTATATTTGAGTTGGACTATTAACGTGTGATCACTGACAAGATATTTCTAAGAGTGCTTTATGTCGGAGTTGGTAATGTTTATTAAACGGTAATTGCCTTAGTATTTTATTCGCAAGAAAATTAAGGGATTACATTTGTTCGAAATTTGCGAAAAATCGATTCTTCTTTTTCTTAATATTTTCATAAATTAGTATTTCAAGAACACTTCGATCCGTGTTCACTTCAGTCTACTAAAATTCGTAGAATGGACGAAATTACAGAATCTTCGTTGAGGTATCGAGATGTTCCTAGCAAAAGAATTGAAGTTCAAAATGTACATTGAAGAAATTACTCATAAACCTGCACTTGCTCGCAAAATTTAAAAAATCATACATCTCGTTCATGAAAAACTGAGTGGAGATAATATACTCAAACGATATCTGAGGCTTTACTCCAAATAAAAACGAGAGTATCAACGCAAATATTTTGGAAAATTGCTCCTGATATCAGCTCGAACGGTGCAAACATCGCCGAAATTCTTCCTCACGTCGCTGCAGCAATATTTAGTAACGAATCCAAGAAGCTTTCTGGACATTATGCCACAGAAACGATGAATTGTTTAAGGACTTGTACAATATTGTATTTTCATGAAGAAATTCTTTGTTGAATCTACACTTCCATTCGATATTCTTCGCCGTTCAAAGATTCGAGTTAATTGCAAACCGATAACGAGATCTCGTAACAACAGAAGGTACACGAGCCTGCATAAGATATTTGGGAATGAAGAAAGGTTCTCCTCTTTTGTCACTATTCTGCATGCATAATTCAAGATTTCCACTTGTCAGGTCATTCCAGTGACCCACATTTCAATAAGGCATGAATTATTAAAACTTCTTCCAAAATTCTATGCGCGCCTATCTAGGCGTTTACTAATTGCACGAAATTCTATTCGAAAAAGAAGAATAACACGTTTATTCTGTAATAAAGAATTTCAACTGAAATCGATAAAATGATAACGATCGAATACATTAAGTCATCCCATAAGTTCGTGTCGAATTTTATAATTCAGATCGATGTTTCCAACGCTGACAAATTGCAAAGTATATAAAAGATAATTAAAAAAAATATTTCCAACGCTGACAAATTGCAAAGTATATAAAAGATAATTTAAAAAAAATATTTCCAACGAACCTTCGAATTTAATTGAAAAAAAAAAAAAGAAACATTTTCTCGTTCGAAAATCTTTTTCCTAGTTTTGTGATAAGACCATAATGTCGTCGCTATAGAATATCCTTGGATTTTCTTCGGTGCGCAGTAATGGGATCACCTAATTTAAATATATTCCTCAATTACTGTTATTTCTGTTGAATAAAGAAGTATGAAGAAGAGGGTAGAGATGACAAATAAAATCTAACACGGAAAACTTGTTAGGCACATTTGATAAAGTAAAATGATTGCGTTGCGTAGGATGAAATAACCTACACTGTGCACGCCAACTTAATCTTGTGCGACTGGTGAATATGAGATGAATACGCGATGAGAATTTAGCTAACGACATCAGCTATCTAGTAGAACTGTTATCTGTCTGACTTGGTACAAGAGCTGACTCGAACTAACTTTTCCATGCTACTTTTTAGAAAAGAGAAGTTGCTCGCCCCGCGTCGCGTCGTCTAGATACAGTACAGTATATGCTGAAACTTGAATAAAGATGAGCTTGAT